CAGACCTTTTTTTTTTTTTTTTTTTGTATGCCAATTCTCAGGGCAATTACTGCCATTGCCCTTTTTATATTAGCATCTTGGGTGGCTAGGCCTGGGGTTTACTCACTCTTTTTAATAGTATAATTTCTTTTGATAAATAAGCAGCTAGGTGTTTTGTTTTGTTTGGTTGTTGTTTTTTTTTTCCCCAAAGATCAGCTAAAATAAAATTCCATAAACCCAGACCTGGATAACCCAGAGTTAATAATTTAAGCCTTTTTTTTGTGTGGAATTCTTACATCCAGCTCTGAGAAGCAGGCAAGTTGATGGCAGGTGTTGTACGTAACAAGGATGTGGCTTGAGATCTGACAGGTGCAGAACACAAAGGACTATCCAAACAGTTCAGGCCTCAAGAAACTCTTACCTTTACCTTCCCGTCTGTCACCATCCACTCGAGTTGAGGCTCTTTATCTGAAAAGCCAAAATAAACGTCCGTGAGGTCGGTAGCAAAGTAACAACACAAACCTCGACAGCATCTGGAGCTTCTGATCCAGCCTGATGGGTAATATAACCAGCACTGCCAGGAAACGTGGCTAAAGGTGACAGAGGCTGAAACCAGATGTACCAATGAGATAAATAAAACTCATGCTGCTACAAACTTTGTAGCTCCATCCGGCCTGAAGCTTCTCGGTCAGACTGATCCCCCATTTTGTGAGCAGAGCTTTTCTATCAAAACTTCTCCTTTTAAACAAAGCCTCGGTTTTGTTCTATCTCAGCTGTGTCTTAGCCTGCCTGGGACTCTTGTTTTACAGCTCAGATCCCTCAGCACAGTCGATTTGTCTTTCTATGTGTGTCCTTAGGCAGCTAATTCCTTCTCCGTGGCTTTTTGCTGGATCTGCTGCAGCAGCTCCTCTTCAAGTCATTCACTGTGCTGACTGTTAGCCGTGTGTAAGCACAACTGGCTCTGTTAATGGCTGTTTTTTTCCTAACAACAACAGCCTTAGTGGCTTTTAAAAGTTCTCTTTAATGTTATGTTAAATGAAAGATAAAATAAACGTAACCGTGTTGAGAATACTGCTCAGTTCCGAGAAGTTTTTTGTTATTTATCATCATTTTAATGAAATTAAATCACTCATGTCCTGTCAGGGAACAGCGACTTGTGTGGAAGTTGTGTTTCACTGATGGCAGCTGGAAGGCAGGCTATGGGATTGCAAAATCAAGTGGTTTGAAGCCAGAGAGTGCACAAACCACCCTTCCAGCCACCAGCATCCATCTATCTCCTCATTGTTACTTTCAGTTGCCAAGGACTGGTATCTGTGCAGTGCCCAGTGACTTTCTCCAAAGAAGTCCTGAATGCTAAGTGCTCTGTGCTGAATGCCCCCAGGAGCAGAAGATGCTCAGTACTACCTTGGAGCAGCCCATTAGCAACATGATTATTGTTGCCTATCTCCATTGCATTATGCATATTTTGTACTGCAAGACACTTCAAGTTGGTTCTAAAAGCATCTCGGCTGTGAAAACATGATCTGGAAGAGTCTACAGCTGCAGTGTCTGGGGCTTTCTCCTCTGAAAGGGGAGCAGATGAAATAATAAGGTACAGGGAAAGTCTTGCTCTGCTCGACAGATGCAGTGGGGCAGCAATTGTCACCAGGACAGGGCCATCTCAAAGTACTCTGTGTAAATACTCAGTCCCAAAAATGGAATCGTCCACTAATTAAATGATAATAAACCAGGATTAAGTACAAGTTTTACGTAAAAGTACCATTAAGTGCAAAATTCCAAGCAACATTGAAACAGTGGTCTGATCAAGAGGGAGCAAAAAAAACCCGGTAACAGATTTCACTGCTCACTCCACTGCTTGCTCCAGCCAACCTCCCCAGGGGAGAAACAGAACTCCAAGATCCAAACACACCCTTTTAAAAACTGGAAATCAATAATAAAACACGTATAGATATTTGGGGTATCAGTTGTCACTGAAGGATTTTATTTTGGTTTTGTGAAAGAAATGAAAAGCCATCACCAAATTAGCGTCACTAATAAAGCGACCCACTATGCAATGACTGGAACATGTGGAAAAAAACATTTCTTGCTCAACAGCTCCTCCTTTTGCTTACATGCAGCACGAAGCCATCAAGGCAGAGGGTTTTTTTTCATGCATTGACTACAGAAGCAAATAATCTGCTCATAAATCCATGTATTCATGGTTTATTCAATGTTATAATACACAGGAACTGGTATATGTTGCCTGATAAGGAGTAAAATGAGAAATTATTTTGGGTCCAAGAGAAAAAAAGCAACATACAACTTTCATTTATGGGCAATTGTCATAGTACCCAGAATTAAAATACAGAAAGAGGTACTGGTAGAAGCACTCACGTTTTGTTAACCTGCACAGTTACCAAAAACTGTCAGCATTATAATTTCTTGCTTGCAAAAACAATTCACTTTGATTGTAAGAAGCCTCATTTTGTAAAAATGCTTATTACCAGGGTAACTTATATAATAGTAACAATAAAAAATTATTTCAGTTACTCTAGTTGCAAACTGAATTTACTATTATTTTACCCTGAGGATGAAGAGAGAATATATAATATTGAATGGGTCATCAGCTTTACTGGACAATTTTACTAACACGAAGCACTTAGTTTGATGGAAATTTCCTTGTAAAAACACTACTAAAATCTGTTAAATTTCTATTATACAATATTGTCTGAGATGCTAAAGTGGGAAGTTTGTGTCAGTTGTTATATACTGCATTCTGCTGCCTATTTGAAAAGACTTCTTGGGATTTTCAGATTCAAACAGTGTTGTTTGTTGAATCAGAAGTGCACACCAAAGTAGCTTACTGCAGGTTAGTCCTTTCACTGCAGGTCAGTACACTGAAACCTGTATCCAAATATTCCCAGAAGCCTGTAGAACCATCTCCCTTATGTTCTGTTATTATATAAAATCATAATAGAAAAATTAGCACCAATGGTAATTATAAAACTGTCTTTCTGCATGTCAGGAGTAAATGTGCAATGCAGTAGAATCTCTCGTGCTTTGCTTTTCAGATGTTTTGAATAAATAAATTTTACAATATTCAGGATGTTCTTTGCCCATGACAGACACAGCTCTCCAGAGGAATAACAATGCAGCAATATTATAAACTGCTTCCCACAACAGTTTTGAAAACAGGTAAATAAAGTTTTAGTGGTTTTGCCAATGATTTTTATCCTTTTTTTCAATCTCACTTGATGTGAACAACACTCTCTAATACTGTTTCCAGAATTTGATGTTGCAGCAAATGCCAAGCATTGCAGGTAAATTCTGCCTTCTCATTGCTAATCCCATGAGAAATCTTATTATAGGAATTTTGCTCATCTTGCATCTCCGCTGAAGAGGAACATTTGCAGATGTGGAATGAAAATAGCAATTTTCCACACAAGTTGTTCTTTTCTATTTTCCATGATTCTCAATTCCCATTCCTCATTACAGTACATCTTGGCGTGTAAAGTCTGATTTTCATTTATTTCATGGCAACATGAAGTGCCCTTAGTATCAGGGAGAATTAAAGTCACAGGATGTAGGGAGATTTCTGGGAAATGGACTCATGTTTTAGCTGCTTTCTTAATTTAAAGGCAAGATTCTTCTTTGAAGAAATGTGCACCATACCACAAACTGTCCTGTGATACACACAATCAAGAAAAGATGCCTAGTTTTGTAGAATAATTTAAGCAAGGGTTTATTTCAGAAGGAAATTCTGGATTCTGTCAGCTTACAGAACTTTGAATTACTGCAGTCTGGAATTACAATAAAAATTTCACTATTATAGGTAAAATATAAACCAATCATTTAGCAGTGAGCTCAAAAGCTGTCAAAAAAAACAATCTGCAACTGGAATAAGGAAGAGGGACAGAAAGAAGCTGATAGGAATGTGATGTGATTCTGGTTTCTGTAGTTATACATTTATGAGGTGTTCCAAATAGATAAAAGCTTCACAAAGAAACTATAATACTGACAGTGACAATAAAATGGGAATGAAAAGCTGAAGCCCCACTCCCACTGTGAGTCTTTGC